AATTGTCGAGGAGGAGGGGGGGGGGGGGGGGAATTGGGGGTTTGGTCGCCCCTTAGAGTTCTCGCCTCTTGGTCACCGAGCATCACACAACGATTAATTCAGACCTGTATGTCATCGATCGGTGGCTTTAAATTGCCAAATGCTCAGCATTCGTGACATTTAAACTCAGTTTCATCATTTAAATAACTTTTGTCATTGGTAATTAATACCCCCCCACCCCTGGAGACGATCAATGAACAATGAACGAGATTTCTGAATTAATTATCTTGCTGTTGTGATTATCCTGGTATGGGTGGATTGTGTTTGGTGTTGAATTAAGGTGCCAGCATTTTGGAGAGCTCCTCGTCCTGCAGGCAACCCTTGAGGAATTCATCCTGTGTCAGTTGGCCGTCGTTGTTCTCGTCCATCTTGGCGAATATATTTTTCGCTCGCTCCTCGGCACTGTCTGCCGGCCTATTACTCGAGCAAGCACCCAACATGTCGTATATTGCCTGTAAACATGGGCACAGAAGATCGATTTGTTACAGGGGTGCAGCCAAGAGAAACAATCTTCACCCAAAAAAAGTTTCTTAATTCAATCGGGGAGCCGCTCCTTGATCTCAGTGGGATTAAATTAAGGATATCCAAATTATGAATATTAACGAAGTTGTTGCGATTCCGAACAAACGATTTTTATTATGCAAAATTGATTGATCATAAATTATTCATAGATAATGCTCGCAATTTTCAAAAAATTGATTTTTTCATTATTTCAACAATCTTCTGCCAAAAGTAGGTTTTCTATTTTTTTCAGATTGTTGAAATGTTTTCTAACGGTTCAATATCGAGATTCAGATCCAGACCTGCAAAGTTTGAATGATAAAACGTGAAATGTCCGGAAACTTGAGTTCAAATCATTTTAAAACGAAAAGAAATGTAAATTATTCTCGGGTGATTGTTTACAGTTTTTTTTCAACCTTTTAATTAAAAATCGACCGGCTAAGGACAGAGATACGTTAAGTTATGATATTGCAGTTCGTGACGTTCAAAAATATCGACTTGAGACTTTCAAGTCTGGGAACACTTCTTAAAATTTTTTATGACATCATGTTTTTACTGAAATTTCAAGGAATTTCGTCATTGAAAATTCGAGATTTTGTGAATAAATCCATGGAATTGATGACATGTTGTTTCATCTCCCAGTGTAGGAGGTGTGTTGGGGGAGGGTGAAGGGTGCTTAGCGCTCCTCAATTATCTTTTCATCCCAAAATTCGGGGAAAAATGTGGGTCGATGGGAGCACAAAATCCTCGGTAATACTTCAAACAAATAAGTCCCATAATGCAATTTATCTCGGGGAATCTTGAGAATGCTGGAGTTTAAACCAGCCGACTGTAAAATCTGGCTCAAGGAGCTTGCAGAACTCTGGGCAATAGTGAATGCGTCGGAATCGAATATCTCTCGCGTGATTTGAGGATGTAATGCACGTCATATTTATGGGTGAATCGATGGTTTTTTTTGTGGAGGATTTGGAATTGATTCTGTAACGAGGAGTGAAGTTCGAGGCTTCTATGAAATTCAATATTTCTCTTTAATAATGAAGGAAATTCGTTCCAGTGAAATTTCCAGACATTTAGTCATTGATAATTCAGAATTTCATGGAAAAATCAATGAGAAGTGTAAATTTCAGCGCAATTATTCCCTAGAAATGTGTAGAAATCAGAAAAAATCCCGTTAATATATTCTTAATTATTCAATAAATTGAAAACTCATCGTAATTCGGCACTGAATATTCGCGATGTCATTGATACTTGAAACCGATTGAAGAAGTTTCATTACAATGTTCTTCAAAAATTTGGAATTTCATAGAATTTTCAGCGAAATCTGAAATTCAATGATTTATTTATAAACAACGAGCGTTTTAAAAACATAATAATTCTGTGCAAAATGTAATTTTAATGACCCTGAATAGTCATGATTGTTTTCAAATTTTTCGCACGCAATTTAATTGCCAAATTTGACGATTAAAAATGATTGAGGCTGCAGTATGGTCTGTACCGAATTGTAAAAGATTCTTCGATATCCTTAGGAAACATGAAGAAAAATTAGAAAGTTTACTTTCGGAAAAAGATTGATGAAATAATTAAAAAATTTAAACTTTTGAAAATTACGAACATTATTTGCAACAAATAATTTATAAACAATCAATTTTCCACCGTAAAAAAACATTTGTTCGGAATCGTAACAAATTCATTAATATTTCAAATTTTGCGGGAAATCGATTTCACGTCTGAAAAAATTAGCTTTTCGAAAATTTAAACAATTTCAATAATTTATTTATACCCAACTTATGTTTGAAAAAATAATAATTCTGTGCAAACTGTAGAATATACTTGGATATCCTTAAATCGCACTCAATGTCATATTTTTTCCAACAGCGTGCGTCCCCGAGACATTCCCCCATTGCATCCTGGCCATTCTGACTCCACCCTAAGACAAATTACTCCCCTCGAATATGATTAATAACCCGACAATCCCGAAATTGTCAATATCCACGTCATAAAGGGATATATCGATGCCCAGTGATTCAACTAATGACTCCCACTCCTGATTTAAATGCGGTCAGGACCATTCAAATTCGGATATTGGACCGCAGGATTTCAGTACTGAGGGAAATGGACTAAAACCATCAGCCTATATTGACAATGCGCATTGAATCCTGTATCCACTATCTCCCCACCTGCAGATTAATGGGGTCAATCCCTAGATTTGTGTTCACAACTACTTCCCCACTGTCTTTCCATTTTTTTTTATTTCGTCTCCTCAACGATGCCATTACCTGAACGATCTTGGTCATTTCCTGAATGTCAATAACACCATTGCCATCCACATCGTACATGCGGAATGCCCATTTTAGTTTCTCCTCAGGCGTACCACTAGACGTCACGTCTATTGCCAGCAGAAATTCCTGGAATGATAAAAGATTACGGATAAATAAACGTGTAACAATGAGAGGGGTGAGGGCAGGGTTCGCATTGAGAGAGAAAAACTCTTCATGTGTGAGTTGAACTCTCCTCGGACCGTTTCTGAATTGACACAATGCAATGAATACGGAGAATGGGGGGATATCAGAGTGGAGCATTCTCGGGAGACTTGAGGCCAGTGGTAACGGCACTTTTTCGTCAGACCGGCGTGTTCTACCTAGAGAAATTACCTCTTTTGAATGGAGATAATGCATGTAACCTTTGGTCTTCGGGGAGTTCAGGGCTTTTAAGGCCGCGGAGCATTTTGCATTTTAATGATTTTTTTTTAAATGTTTGGAAACGTTTGGAGTGGGTAATTAGATAATTATTTTTGGCATTTGCGGGGTTTGGGAGAAAATATGAGGAGTTTTTTGTTGGGAATTTTGTGAGGAGTGACGAAGGTTTTTAGTGTTTTTTTTTTAGGGCAACTAATTTTTTAGATATTTGCAATTGTTTTAAATTGTAAATTGGGAATTAGCGAATTTTGCGGGTAATTAAATAATCATTCTCTGCATTTTGTTTGAATTCTAATTCCATTACTTTTAACAAATTGGTGGATTATTTCTAAGACTTTCGAGTTCTTAAATGCCAGAATTGCATTTATGTTGAAATGGACTCGGGCAGCGAAGTTAAATCAATTTATTTACCATTTGTTCAATTGCTGGGTTGAGGACAAAATATGAGAAGACGTTTTTTGCTGGAAATTTTTCAAGAGGTAAAAAAGGTTTTTAGTGTTTTCTTCTAGGGCGACTCATTTTTTAGGTATTTGCAATTTTAAAAAATTGTAAATTAGTAATTAGTAAATTTGTGAGTAAGTAGATCATCATTTCGGGTTCAGGAAAAAATAAGAACGGAAATTTTGGGTTTGAAATTTTTTCAAATACAAGAACGGTTCTTTAATGTTTCGCCTAAAGTCACTCATTTTTACATTTTCACATATTCAACTTGGAAGTCGATCCCACCGTGAAACTCAAGAATTGTGGATAGATTATCCCCTAATTATCCTGATAACTGTTGAACATACGAAGCCTGAAAACACCTTTTTCATTGAAAATCCCATCAGCTCCAAGAAAGGGTTTCTAGTCTTTTTCCTGCAGCCACTCATTCCCTCCGTGAAACTAGTCAGAAACTGCCCATCGGTAATTATTAATCAACAGGAAGAGCCATTCAAGCTAAATTTCCTCTACAAATTTCATTGGCTTTGAAACAGGTGTTCTAGTCTTTCTGCTAGGGCCACTCACCGCCGAGAAACGTTCAATCCCCAATGGCGGCCTCTCCGCAAAACTTTGCAAAGGAAAAATCACCCAAATTGGAGAGCCACGTGAGTTAGCAAATTAACCAATCACTCATCCCCCATCCACTCCCCTTTTCCAATAATAGTTTCTCCCACATCTCGTATCAAGTTGAAAACCCCTGAAAATCCAAATTGAAATCTGCAAACAGTCACAGTATCTCTGATACCCCAATATCACTTCTCCATTGGGAGTAAGGATTTGATGTATAGCTGCCCTTGTTGCTTTTCGAAGCGTGCCGGACGCGCCTTCATAGTGGCACCAGGGAACGAAAAGGGGGTGTAGAAGCAAACGAGCGATTCAATTCCTCTTGTACTGATAAGCAAAGGGCGCTTGGGGGGGGGGAGTGGGAATAGACGAGCCCTGAAAGAGTAAGGGATAGACTGAGAGTTGAGTTTTGAGCATCGTTAAAAGTTTGCCCCGAATGAACTGGGTCACCTGATGCCCCCCAGGAGGCGAAGCTGCAACTGCTTCATGTGGGAGCTCTAACGCAGAGGTCGCGTATGCTCGTGGAGATGCAGCCGAGTGGACTGGACCCGTCTACCCCTCCTTCACCTTCTTTGGCACTCCCTCGAGACTCTTTCCATTATACTTTTTTTTCTCTCGGCTCTTCGTTCCAACCATATTGACCCCGCTAACATTCCAACCTTTTCTCTCAAGACTTTCCGCCCAGCGTAACGTGGGGGGAGAGGTCATATTCAGATGTAACATCATATTATTATGCTTTTTATTTCCTCTCAACGCCTTCCGTTGTTCTTCTTCTGCTTTTACTTTTTTTTTACGCCTTATTTTTATTATCTTATTTTACCGGTTCGTTCCCTTTTTCCCTCCCGGGGAGACCGGGCTTTTTATAAAGCACGCCTTGCGGGCTGATATCACGCCTGTGTGAACCCCCCTTCCTGGTTACTAAAGGCGAAATGGGTGAAGTGAAAAAAAAGGGTGAAAGGTAAAGAGGAGGCTTCTTGGACCTGTGTGTTATCATTTTTACTGGGCATACAAAATTTACGGTGGTGTACATAAATATGGGGAGATGGGGGAATATATCGGGCTGCGTGGAGAGGAAAGATGAAGAAAAATTATGTAAAAGATCTCGCCAAATTTCACTATCCTGAAGATAATCTAAATGTTTTTCTGTGGAAGATACCTTACAGTTGGGTGAGTAAAAAAATTACATCTGTGGATGAAAATAATGACGGTTCCCTGTACTGTTAAAATTTTAGTCAAATTTAACTTTGTCGATCTCGAATTATTGGACTGATACGAAAATTGGAAAGTGCCCGTTCAGTTGAAGAAAATATAATTCTCCGGGTATTACATACAAAAAAGAAACGAGAAATGAAATTTGTCGGGAGGAATTACAGTCGATACAAACTATAAAACTTGCCAAAAGAATGAGAAGATAGTAATCCAGGATATTCTGTGCGGCTAACTTCCGGGGACTTTGAACTTTTTTCCAGAATTTATAGGTCACAACTATCCACCGGGGTTTTCCTAATGGAAGAGTATACGGGAAAATACCGGAAACTAATAAAGAAATAGCAGCACGATTTCATCCCGACTCGCAGCTGATTGATAAAACTTGGATAACAATTTTGAGTGACTCTGAAGTCCAGTGGGAAATTTAATATTAATACTATCTGCATCATTACACCTGCATTTTTTTCTCCCCCTCTTTTATCTTAGTCAGACTCATTGTCCAGGGAGATTCAGATATTACAATGGCGACCAACTCCTTTGTTCATGTTCTTGTTTCCTTCATTTTCCCTCTGAAACATGGGAAACTGTAACTCTGTTGCGGCCATTTTTTCCCTTTCAGTGGAACTCAGTCGTTCTAATAATCTACAATGCAGAAATCCTCAATGACCTTTTTTCTTTATGCAGAGTAAGGGCTCTGCACAGTCATTGGAAGATGAAATAAAATTTTTATCATGAATAATCGATGGCAACCACAGGTGAACATTATGGGTGAGGCGTGAGGAATTTATTCAATCCGCTGGGTGATTAGTCCCCGTAAAATCCATTGAAGGAAAAATGGAAATTATCGATAGGTCCTGACCAACGACAGGAGTACATTTTTCCCTTTGCAGGACCGACTGTTTCACCCCAGGATTTTGCGAGCGAATCTCATCGGATCGATTCTGCCTGACTCTATCCTCCGATGTAGCGATGGCAAGCGTAACTCGCATTGGCAGTTTTGTTGGGTGTGTCGAATCGGGGGAATTACACAATTTCGTAAGACAAACAGTGTATTGTTTAAGTGTCCTTGGAGTAGGTGAGGCTTACGAGCGGTTGCCAGAGACAACGTGGTAATAGTGGTTGAGGTTGAAAGACGGGCGTGGCAAGCGCCTCGGCAATATATCTTATTTATCGAGACCCGTATTTTCCAGGTAACCTCTCTCCCGTATATTGTGGCCAATCAGCAGGTGTATGTGGAGCGAGGGGTTACAGCTCTCGTTTGTTGATGTGTTTCATTTTGTCGAGGTTTCTCACAACCTGCGACAACAATGAGAGACGACTGGTGCCTTTTACCACTGTAGCACGTCCAGGACACTCATCGTCATATAGGTGAAACGGTGGGTCGACTCGGTTGGCATGGCTGATGAGACAAAGGCCTCTCATTGTTGTCGCCTTCTTCCGCGTCACGAGTGTCGAAAGGCGAGTGACGCTCATGGGGTGGAAAATGGGGAATGGCGAGGGCTTCTTTCAATGGCCAACTGTGTATTTTTTGCTTTATTGTTACTCATGGAGAAGAAAAATTGAGCTCAAACTGGGGGAAAAGGAACGTTAACGATTGCCAGAATGGTTTCTCCATTATTTTTTCCTCTCTGTTCAGCTGATTGGTACGAATTTTTGTTTGAAAAATGAATTGTCCCTTTGTAGTTGCCACATTAATTGGAGTAGGAGAATGGTAATCTGAAGGTTGTGGGTTCAAATCCCCTCATGGGCATTCGGCATTGGCCGAAAATCACTTTGCAGAATTACATTCCAGAGCTGTCCTCCGTCCATCTTCATGCGTCCGACAACATTAACAGCGTGGTGTCACTCGCTGATGTAATCAATTGTAATCCCAGTGAAATAAATGTACTCATTGTAATCACATGATTACCATATTTGTAATCAAGTTTTAGTAATCAAGCGGTAATCATTTGTAATCACTGTAATTATTTGTAATCAGTGTAATCTTTCGTAGTTGCTCCTAGTGAGACCGTGAATTTTGTTTTTGAATTTTCGCGCGCGTCATTTCTACCAACGGTAAGTCTCAGAGATCCCTGGATCAATTTTTGTTGGAATCCCAGATGTTTATGGTTCAGAGCCTTGTATAGCCAATGCGTTTTGCACAGAGCATTTGACCGTAGAAAATCGATTCAACAGAGTTAAAATTTCTTCTTATTCTGGAGAACCGACGACTGAATTATCTCTGAATTATCTGCTGGTAAGTTTCATTCTCCATCAATGGTAGATATTCAGTAAATTTATTTTGCTGATGGCACTTATAAATGCCCAAATTTTTAGATGGAGTGATGGAGACTGCATTCCTCTGTTCTAATCCCCGCCCCTCCTTCCTCATTTCTTTGCAGGTTCTAATAATTAATTATTCCATCAATTCATATTTAATAAGAGGCCATTTTTTGTGATTTCAATGATTACAGATGTTTCGTAATCACAGAATGTAATTGACGAAATCATTTGTAATCATGTAATCACATTCTGTGCTCTTGGTAATCACGGTTATCACAGGCAATGGTAATCAGTGAAATCAGTCCCGTAATCCTGGGTAATCGATTACATTTTGTAATCACAGTGTCACCCAATTCGCCTGTGAATAATCCCTCGGTTCAATCACATTTTTCCCAATTTAGAATTGTTTCCACTTGAGAGAAGAGTTCAATTCCCATCAAAGAATTTCCCTATTTGTGCCTTTCATTATTTTCATGAATACATGCAGATCCAGTTGACCCGATCACGATTAATGAACCTGAGATTGGAGACAGTATTTGGGTCAGCGAAACAATTTCCAGACTACAAATGAATATCTATTTTTCCGTATTCAAGAGCTCGATTCGTTGACATTAACTGAAACGAATTCTCCGTCGTTTGAGTCATTCCTCAAGTATTCAAGAGTGACACAGTTGAATAGGAGCAACTGATTACGCGCTCTCATTCACATCTTTATCATCTCCATTCTCTCATGCTAATGCCCCTCATCAATACTCTATAAATATCCCCCAATCCTTCGAATAAACTCTACCCAAATGTTAATGACAATGAACTACACAAAGTCTCATTTCTCAGCGTCAGCATTACCGTCACCACAGCAAACAGCAGTGTGATTATTTTCCATGTCAATAAAAACCGAAAAGCGGTGGAAGAATGAATGTTGAGGATGGGATTTACTCGGATATTTCGTCTTGTACGATTTTATCCCTCCCCGATTTTTTGGCAATACTCCCAGGCTCGAGGAAAGGATTTATGTCGAAGAATTTTCGCTTCGGCTCTTCTCATCGGCGTAAGCATTCCCTCCCTCTTACATCTCAGAATAGAAGAAAATCAGACTGAATTTTTTCGGAAGAAGAGAAAACTCACCTTAAAGTCGATGTATCCATTCTTGTCCATGTCAAATGTCCGGAAGACGTGGTCGCAGAATTCTTCAGCATTACCGGACGGGAAAAACATTTTGTACATGTCGACGAATTTGGCGGGCGTCAGCCTACCGTTGGGACAGTCTTGCTGCAAAAGAACAAGAATTGACACGTGTTAGTCACTTTCAAAGGATCAATTACTGCGGTTGACGGCTATCATTGATTGGTCAGGGAGATTTTTTTCCCCTCTGTAAAACGACTCGCGTAGATTTTTCTCTCGCCGACATCGCTTTTTTTTTCCTCTCCTCTTTAACTCGTGTGCCAACGTAATGGACGAAGGCTCGCGGTGCACTTTAGCCTGACCTACATTCATTTCAAACATTTCAAAATAGCCCAGCTTTGCCTCAGGTATACTAGACTCGTCTCGACACTCGAATCCTTGAGAAAAAAAAACATTGTGAAATATCGTATCATGGATTCATTGATGAGAACAATCGTTTCTGGGTGACGCTATGGCCGGAGAATATTTATGCGTCGGGAGGACTGGCTTTTCAATTGTTGTATTAACAGGAGAAGCTAAAATTATTGAAATTTGAATTTATTGGACGACGCTAGGTTCAGACTTTTATCTTTCAATTTACAGTGAATAATGGCAACTGAATTTCAATTATTTTATGTTGGGGATAGGATTTAGTTCACAAAAATTTAAATACCAGGAAATTCAGAGGTGCATTGACTGCCAAATTTGGATTTTAATTACAAATTTGGAATCTTTAAGTTTATAAAGAATGTTACGATGGAATTGATTCGAAATTTTTACCCCTGGAATGATCTGAGGGATCTAGTTTTATATCACAAAGATTTATTCTTTCAGTTCAGTCTGACTTTGAAAATATTTTAATTTGTTTATTGATCCTTGAGTGAATCCGTAATTTCCTCACCAGCAGTTACATTCACTGAACGCTATTGTCTGCTATCACGGAAAGCCTTTCTTCCACTCGTTGGAGTTTATTAATATTCTGACAAATTTTAGAAAAATGAAGTGGTTCTCACAAAATTGAAGGTTGTGGGTAGTTCCAGGGTGAAATCGAGAAAAGATGAGCTGTTCTGTCCTAATAATTTACGAAATGCGGATGGAAAGTTTTGCACTTTTGTATCACGAAAAATTGACTTCTATCTTCAGTTGAGAAAATACAGCTAAATGAGGCTTTTTTGGCGTCAAGTCTGGTTGAAGTTTGCCTGGCTTTTTGATGGCAACATTTATGATCATCATTATCATCATGTACTCGAGCGGAAATTGTTTTTCGGGATGTATTAATCTCGCGTGAGATATGCGGCAAAATGGGTAGTTGTGGCATCGGGTCTGAAGTTGGGGTTGGTTAGTGCTGATGGTTCGTACTCGCGTGCTTCGCCGCGATGAAAAAAAGGCAAGAGCCCGACGTACGAGAAGAAAAAACAGCCCACCCCACCGGGAATTATAAATGTATCATACGGCATCATGCAAAACACCAACCGTGAACCTAGCCCGTTTTCAGTGCTTGCTTTAAACACGGGTTTGTGTGTTTCTGTATTATAAGACTGCACGGGGTGAATACCGAGAAGCAACTGAGTAGTTCGTTATCTTTGACGATCGGGAATTAGGAAATCGGTGTATTCAAGTTTTGGGAAAGGGAGAAAAAAAATTAGTTCCGCCGAAAAATTATACGTTTCCTTGAGGAGATCTTTTGCCGTGTTGAATTAATTTACTTGCGGATAAGAAAGAAAGTTCCCACCAAATAGTGAGACATTTATATGGCTTTCGGATAAATATATTCGTTCTGTAGAGAATTATATGAGGCTCCGGTTTTATCAAGTCAATGTTATTGAGTAGTGTATATCTTTATCCAATAAACATATAATTTCCATGGAACAAATGACAATTTTTTTTGGGTAAAAAATATTCTTTTCCCGTCAATGTATTCTTTCTATGGTATAAACCTATGGAGTTCTCTCAGATCAAATGATTGTCGTACAATAGATTATATTTTTTCCAGCCAACAGTTGGAATTCTTCTAGGGATATTTCTGGTGATCACGAAAAAAAATTTAATTTTCGTGAAAGATATTAAATTTCCTTCTATCAAGTTGGTTAATTTCCCTCAAGTAAATCTGTTCCACTCCATCAAATATTATCACGCGGAGCATATAGTTTTTCCGCAGAGCTAATTTTTCCACTCAATGCAGAATAGGATTTTATTTAAAAAATTGCATTTTTCAATGTTCACTAAAACATGGTTTTCACCCTTAATGCTGGAGGAAATTATGCATAGAAAACAGTGGAGATCGCTGTCATGACCAGGGAAATTAAATTTTTAAATATTGAAATAACGCCAGGATACAAGATCCCCGCCGGAGTCACAGGAATAAAAACAAAAATGCAAACGACCAAGAGAAATGAAAAATGATTCCATTTTACTATACCATTCGGGAAAAGCAGTATTTTTTGTTGAACTCACATCATGTCACGGGATTACGCTCCAAAGCTTTTCACCGTCCATCTTTCAGCTATATCGTTCCATTACGAAAATAAATTTTAGGAAATGAAAAGTTTTTCATCTGTATCTATCTATCTTTATTGGAGAGATGCCAGGACAAGCGATCCCTTCGGAGCCGAAGAGACAAAAAGATGGACAAGGACAGCAGAGAGCATTAAGCATTCTTTAATTTCAAAGTCACTGGGGCAAAACGGGTTTTCTTCGGAGAAATTTTTTTTTTGGGAATTTTAGAATTTTCAGCGTCTTTGTAACAAGTTTGTTAAGACGTATGTCCCCATCCATAAATTCATCAAGACCCATGAACCCCTCCATCAGTGGGTTTTAAGCCAACCGACGAAACGAAAATATTTTTCATTTTGTTGAATTCCACCGTCTCTATTTTTAGGAAGAGAAATGAGAATGCGTAAGATGAAACGAGCGTTGTCGATAAATAAAAGTGACTGGTGTGTGTCTTATGTGTGAGTGTGGAGGTAAGGCGAGGAAATAAAAGGCCGAACGATAAGCCCAGCTCTCCCTCCCCATTTCCCTCTCGCACTCGGTAAAGAAAAAAAAGCGAGGAAAATACCTTCCAGGTGTACACGGAGTGAGAGGGAGAGAAAAAAACTAGAGAACACTGGGATGCATATATTGATCGCTCGGGGGGTAATAACGGAGAGAAAAAGGGTGTAGTGAAGAGCAAAGAGAGGAAAAAACTCGGCGCTGATATCGATATGCGATCAGGTGGGCCGGGAGATGCCAAGATGGACAATCTAGACGGTTTTTCCAAAAATGGAAATGAGAGGAAAATTGCTTTTGTCATCACATTGTGAATACATTTTTTATAATAAATTAGTAGATTGCTTGAAAATGGTATTTCTATGATGCTATTTTAAATTGTATTCAATGATTTATTGAATTCAACATTGCTCCAGGCAACATTGACGCAAACTTGGCAACCAATATTGATACAACCTCAACAACAAATACTATCCCAACACTGGGAACCAACATTGGCTGCCAACGAGCCAAACTGCCATATTTAGGCTTTTTTCGGGGGGAAAGTCGACTTTCGCCAAAATCGAATTTTTCCGCCGAGTGAAAGTCGATTCTGTATTTTCTGGCCCGCCTAATGCCACTGAGGCCCTCACTTGCCCCGGAAATGCAGAAATAAAAAAATTTTTTTTTTGCACCCAGAGCCAAAGTGCCATATTTAGGCTTTTTTCGGGGGGAAAGTCGACTTTCGCCAAAATCGAATTTTTCCGCCGAGTGAAAGTCGATTCTGTATTTTCTGGCCCGCCTAATGCCACTGAGGCCCTCACTTGCCCCGGAAATGCAGAAATAAAAAAATTTTTTTTTTGCACCCAGAGCCAAAGTGCCATATTTAGGCTTTTTTCGGGGGGAAAGTCGACTTTCGCCAAAATCGAATTTTTCCGCCGAGTGAAAGTCGATTCTGTATTTTCTGGCCCGCCTAATGCCACTGAGGCCCTCACTTGCCCCGGAAATGCAGAAATAAAAAAATTTTTTTTTTGCACCCAGAGCCAAAGTGCCATATTTAGGCTTTTTTCGGGGGGAAAGTCGACTTTCGCCAAAATCGAATTTTTCCGCCGAGTGAAAGTCGATTCTGTATTTTCTGGCCCGCCTAATGCCACTGAGGCCCTCACTTGCCCCGGAAATGCAGAAATAAAAAAATTTTTTTTTTGCACCCAGAGCCAAAGTGCCATATTTAGGCTTTTTTCGGGGGGAAAGTCGACTTTCGCCAAAATCGAATTTTTCCGCCGAGTGAAAGTCGATTCTGTATTTTCTGGCCCGCCTAATGCCACTGAGGCCCTCACTTGCCCCGGAAATGCAGAAATAAAAAAATTTTTTTTTTGCACCCAGAGCCAAAGTGCCATATTTAGGCTTTTTTCGGGGGGAAAGTCGACTTTCGCCAAAATCGAATTTTTCCGCCGAGTGAAAGTCGATTCTGTATTTTCTGGCCCGCCTAATGCCACTGAGGCCCTCACTTGCCCCGGAAATGCAGAAATAAAAAAATTTTTTTTTTGCACCCAGAGCCAAAGTGCCATATTTAGGCTTTTTTCGGGGGGAAAGTCGACTTTCGCCAAAATCGAATTTTTCCGCCGAGTGAAAGTCGATTCTGTATTTTCTGGCCCGCCTAATGCCACTGAGGCCCTCACTTGCCCCGGAAATGCAGAAATAAAAAAATTTTTTTTTTGCACCCAGAGCCAAAGTGCCATATTTAGGCTTTTTTCGGGGGGAAAGTCGACTTTCGCCAAAATCGAATTTTTCCGCCGAGTGAAAGTCGATTCTGTATTTTCTGGCCCGCCTAATGCCACTGAGGCCCTCACTTGCCCCGGAAATGCAGAAATAAAAAAATTTTTTTTTTGCACCCAGAGCCAAAGTGCCATATTTAGGCTTTTTTCGGGGGGAAAGTCGACTTTCGCCAAAATCGAATTTTTCCGCCGAGTGAAAGTCGATTCTGTATTTTCTGGCCCGCCTAATGCCACTGAGGCCCTCACTTGCCCCGGAAATGCAGAAATAAAAAAATTTTTTTTTTGCACCCAGAGCCAAAGTGCCATATTTAGGCTTTTTTCGGGGGGAAAGTCGACTTTCGCCAAAATCGAATTTTTCCGCCGAGT